CACTAGGTGGGATCCAGTTTTGCTTAATGTCAATCTTGTAAGTATACACGTAAGTTCTGTGCGTTCATAAATATGGTCCTGAGGTTGGTAGAGGGTCTTAGAGGGAAATTTCTGGGCTGGAGGCTGGGACACACCCCACCTGGGTCCAGGTGCATGCTTAGTCACTCACTAATAGTGTGCTCTAGGTAAGTCAGCACACCTGCAGCATCCTCTAAGGTCCTTTCTTGCTGTAAAACCTAGGATACTGGAACCTGAGTTCTTTGCCCGCTCTGGAGACTTAAGGAAGAAGACAGAAGCGGGGCCGGGGGGGGGGGGGGGGGGGGGGGGGGATGTTAAAACATTTCTTAGACACAATGACCTTGGTGTATGTCTAAGTACAGTTTGGTTTTCTTTTATAACACAGAGAATACATCAAGTGCCATTGTTCCACCTTGGTTTTTGCACCTAAAATAAATATATAGACATCTGTGGATGATTTTCTTTGTATTAAATAGCCTTCTAAATGTGATTTTTAAAAAATAGCAGTATTCCACGGTGCTGGATAACAAAACAGAAATAATCCTCCGTAAAGATTATTTATAGTTATGGTGATTTATTATTTTAGCCATTCACTGGACATTTTTGCATATAACTCTCTGGGACATGGCTGATTATTTCCTTCAGGCAAACTCTTAGAAGCATAAACTTAGTCAAAGAGTCTGAATATTTTAAAGGTCTTTTGATTAAATGGTGATGGAAGGAGACTTGACTTGGGGTGGTGAACACACAATATAATATACAGATAATGTATATAGAATTGTACACCTGAAACCTATATAATTTTAAATGACATTTAAACAAAGGAAAGAATGCTCAATATCACCAACTTAGAAAAGGTATAAACTTTTGATATGAGATACCACTTTTCACTTATTAGCTTGACCTAAATCACAAAGCTCTGTAACAGTGTTTTTAAGGATATGAACCTCTATTAGCCAGTGTGACCCCAATAAATTTAATAATAAATAAATAAAAATGAATCTTTGCCTTCCAGAAAGATTGTTCTAATTCACATTGACAGCTGCCAGCCATTTTAAGAAGTTATACTCTGAAGAAAAAAATAGTTTTCCAGTAGAAGAGGGTAGGCAGAGGTTATAGGACAGCAATTAGAGTGTGGTCTTAAAGGAAACCATAGAAATATTGTGGAGAATTGAAGCCATACCTGGGAAATATACAAGTGCGTCTCAGGGTCACTAAAGGGAAGGAGTTTTGCCACAGGGTTTAATTGAGTTTAATAGAATTTGATAGTTTAGTAGACATTTAATAGATCAGTTCTTTTGATCTAATAATGGGGTGAGTTTTCAGCTCACTTGGAGACATTATCAAATTCTAAGAACTTCTAAAAGTCAAATTATAGTTCATATAAATTGGATAAAAATCAAAGGAAACCCTAACCCAACAGATATCAAGATACTCCATGCTCCTACTTTTGAGAAACAAAACTTGAATTCTTTCCCTGTCTCTTCCTCCTCTCCATTCTATGCTTGGGAAACAGAAGCTGTATCAGTTCCATGGTATTATACTGGGTTCTCCCAGGGACAAACCTGCTTCCCCATCCTGAATGAACCATCACTTATGCCCTAGTTCTTACTTCTTTGGTCTTTGAACATCTCAGTTCTTGTCCAGGAATTCAGATACACATTGGAAAAATTATTGTAATCCATGAGTGGATTTAATGTCCCTCTGATTTATTCAGCAGTTCTTTGCTCAGAGGTAGGGTATCTTAACTTTTTTCTGCCTGATAAGTGTATTTGTGTTTATAATAGCACGTTTGTATTTTATAATTGTGGTATATCAACTCTGGCCTAAGAAAAAGACAGCCACAGCAGACTCATTTCACAACTAAAAATGTTTTCAGGCATTACCTGGTTAAAGTGATAGAATAGTGGTTTTTCTCTTCTTTCCTTTTCTCCTTTTGTGTACTGTGTTTATATTACTTTAATAATGAAGAAAAACTAAAAAATAAATGTCATTATTTTACCTCAACTCAGATGTTTGGGGTGCTAGGGTTCTTTTCATTACACTACTCTGTCTGGCAAATACTCTGCAGCTTGGCAAGTTGAAATGGTTTATTAAATGTTTTTATTTTTTGTGAGAATAAAAGTAAGATATGTACAAGTATCTGAAAAAACTCTAAAGAAATCATTCACAGTCTCATTTCCCTTTTTTTTTCTTTTCTTCCATCCTTTCTCCCTGTGTACTTGGGAGAAATGATGGATTTCTACTTTATGGCCAAGTAGAATTCCAAATGAAATACTACTTGGCCATAAAAAAGAAGAAAATTTTACCCTTTGTGACAGTATGGATGGACCCAGAGAACATTGTGCTAAGTGAAATAAGCCAGTCAGAGAAAGACAAATACCATATGACTTCACTCATGTGCAATCTAATGAACAAACTGAACTAACAAGGAAGATAGAGATTCATAGAAAGAGAGCAGAATGACAGCTAACTTGGGGGAGGTTAGGGAATGGAGAAATAGAGCAACAAGGAAAAAGGACTCATGGACATGGACAACAGTGTGGTGATTGTGATGGGGAGGGGGTGTAAAGGGACTAAATGGTAATAGAAAAATACAATAAATATTGTTTAAAAATAAAGCCCTGGCTGGTGTGGCTCAGTGGATTGAGTGCCAGCCTTCAAACCAAAGGGCCACTGGTTTCATTCCAAGTCAGGGCACATGCCTGGGTTATGGGCCTGTTCCCCAGTGGGGGGCATGTGAGAGGCATCCACACACTATTTCTCTCCCTCTCTTTCTCCCTCCCTTCCCTTCTGTCTAAAAATAAATAAAATATTTTTTAAATGAAATAAAAATAAATTATGAAAAGGTGAAAAACCTATCTATCCTCCCTCTAATTTTACTCCTAGAGTTCATTGCTGTCAGCATCTTGATATGACTTTTTCTGGACCTCTATGTTTAAACAAACACATAGATTTTTTAAAGTAGATTTTTGCTATATATACTGTTCTGCAACCTATTTTCTACATCTCTGCACATGTACTTAATACCTATACATGTACTTAATTATGTCTTTAGTTGTATTACATTGTATGACTGTACCAAAATGTATTTGACCACTTAGGTTATCTAGAGTTTTCCCAGTTTGGGGCTATTATTAGCAAGTCCACCCCTTTACATAATTGTTATATGTATGTGTTTTTGTTTTTGTAGGATATATTTCTAGAAAAGAAAGTAAAAGCTCATATGACATACATATTTAAATTTAAAGAATTTTTTCTAAGATTTTACTTATTTATTTTTAGAGAGGGGGAAGGGAGGCAGAAAGAAGAGGAGAGAAACATCATATGTGGTTGCCTCTCACATGGCCCCCACTGGGAACCTGGCCTGCAACCCAGGCATGTGCCCTGACTGGGAATCAAACTGGCGACCCTTTAATTTGCAGCCTGCATTCAATCCACTGAGCTACACCAGCCAGGGCAGTATATACATTTAAATTTTTAATGAAGACTACCAAATTGCTCTCCAAAAAAGCGTACACAACTTTGTATTTCTTCCTACCATTAGGAGGTAAGAAGATCATACCCTCAAAAACACTGTTGGAGATCTTTGTGATTTAGGTCAAGCTAATAAGTGAAAAGTGGTATTTCATATCAAAATTTTATACCTTTTTTAAGTTGGTGAGATTGAGCATTCTTTCCTTTGTTTAAATGTCATTTAAACAAGTGACATTGCATTTCTTATTCTCTGAACTGTGTATTAGAACCTTTCATTCATTTCCCTGTTGGGTTGTGGGTAGTTTTCTTAATTGATCTTTAGGAGCTATATACATTAGGAGCATTAACCTTCTGCCTTATATATGTGTAACATTGGTTAGTCGGTCATGTGTGAGTTTTTATATGTATACAGAGATCAAAGAGACCTAAGAGGGAAAACTGACTTCCTTCTCAAAGTGTATAAATGTATTTATAATACAAGAGAGAAACTGTTTTATTAAATAAACAGGTTGGCTAAAATGCAATACAAATCTCCTTTATCTACTTCCCTACTTGAATATAAGCTCCAGGAGGAGAGTGCATTTTCTTTCCTGTTCACTGCTGCATCCCCAGTGCCTAAAATAGGGCCTGGCACAGAGGAGGGGCTCAGTCAGTGTTTGCTGAGGAAGAATTAGGAGAATTTCAAGCAGGATGACAAAAGGAAGAATAGACTCTGGGCAAATACCCCTGAAAGAGTGGCTGTGTGCCATTCACAGCTTAGTATCAATTGGTTAACTGTTTCTCCTCCTCACTCCTCCTGCCACTAGTGGAATAAGTTTATTGCAGGGATAGGATTCATTATCTGGCATAAGCGAGGGTCAGAGGAGGAGATGTTTGGCGTAGTGATGTGGAAGGCTTGAAAAGTTAATTAAAGGGTGTGATGAAAGTATTCAGCTGCTGGGGTGTGGGGAGGGTGGCAGGATGGGAAGCATTAAGAGGGGGGATGATGTGGAAAGTCAGATTCTGCTGGCTTTGAAATTTTGCCTAAGGCAAGCTTGTACTTCCAGATATGTTATACTGCAGGGAAAAGGACCATGAAATAACTGAGAGTATTTTGGTGCAACATTTTCTTCATGAGTAGACAGTGTAAGTTTTTTGCAAGGCTTGTAATTAAATTTTAAAATTCTCATCATAGTTGCTTTTTTAAAAATTTATTTTTTATTGTTGACACTATTACAGATGTCTCCATTATCCCTCCCTTTGCCCACCTCCACCTAGTCCCTGCCCCCCTTCCCTCTGGCTATCAGCACACAGTTGTAGTAACTTTTTAAAAATTTGGCTTCAAATGGCTCTGGGGTATTAAGTGACTACTGAATTTCTAAATCACCTGCTGCATTTCTACACTTACAAGTGAGTCATTATATGGTTATCAGAGGGCTCTTTTAATTACATCATCCAAGTTCCATACTGTCTGGGTATTTAATTATTGAGTAAAGTAGTTTTCTTTTTGTGTTTTCCATAACTAGGTAATTTCAGAAAAATGAGGATACTTAGTAGTGCTATACTCATGGCCTACTGTTATTTGTTGAAAGGTAAGACACCAGATCCTTTCATTATGTTCTATATTTTAAATATTTTATCCATAAATTAAAAACTGGTGAAAAATACCATACGATCTCACTGAAAAGAGGAATCTAATGGACAAAATAATTAATGACCAAAATAGAACCAGAAGCACAGAATCATGGAATAGACTGACAGCTATAAGAGGGGAGGAGGGAAGTGGAGAGTGTTCCAAAGAGGGTGAAAGAACTAGTCAAAGAACACATATGAGGGACCCGTGGACATGGACAATGGTGTGGGGATTGACTGTGGAAGTTGGGGGTGGCTGAGAGGAAGGGGGTGCAGGGGGAAAATTGGGACAACTGTAATAGCATAAACAATAAAAAATTTTAAATGGATATAATTTTTAATAGAGAGGACATTTTGGTTTTCTTTATTTCATAAGATTATATAATTGGACGAAGATTTAGGAAACATGGACAAACTGAACAAAACAAAATTAACTCCATTATGCATTGTCCCTTTCTCATGTATAATTACTGAAAATATCTGGGGAAATGGCCTGTGATGTTATATGTTTTAAACAAGGAAAGGAGCATTTTTTCTACCTTGCTCTGTGACCTGCTTTTCCCTGAAGAGTCTATTCTAAGGAAGAATTATGGAAAGTGTCAGGGTAACAATAGTACTGGTCTCATCCTAAGACCCTCCCTAAATCTTCATACCCATGTACCTCTGGCCAGACAATCAAGTAAGAGTTTAGGGCACTTAAGTAGAAAGGACTACAGTCATGTGCTGCAAAAAGACATTTCAGTCAATGATGGACTGCATGGACCATGGTGGTCCCTTAAGATTATAATGAAGCTGAAAAATTCCCATCACCTTGTGACATCGTAGCTAACGTAATATCTCAGTGCAACACATTACTCACATGTTTGTGGTGAGTTTGGTATAAACTTACTACACTGCCAATTGTATTAAAGTACATAGCATATACAATTATGTAGAATACATTATACTTGATACTGATAATAAATGAGTATGTTACTGCTTTATGTATTTACTATGCTATACTTCTTATTGTTATTTTAGGGTGTACTCTTTCTACGTAGAAAAGTCTCTAGACATTATGCCATGTTAGGCCAACAGGCAGCCTCATACATCTTGTGTCTACCATGTCTCATGAGTAAATCATTTTCTCTTGTACAAAAACTACAGTAATATGTTGTACAGTGTTGTAGCAAAGGAGCAATAAGCTATATCATATGGCCTAGGTATGTAGCAGGCTGTATGATCTAGGTATGTATACTTATACACTGATGATCACATAACAGCAAAATCACCTAATGATGCATTTCTCAGAATGTACCCCCATTGAATAAGTAGCATAGACAGTAGATAGAAAATAGATGGGGGGGGCAAGAATAGCATGGGAAATATAGAACCTAAAGGACTTGAGACACATGGACATAAACTAAAGGGGGGTAATGGTGGGGATGGGGGGGCAGGGTGGAGGGGAATGAAGGGGGGAATAGAACAACTGTAACAGCATAATCAATTTAAAAAAATAAATTTAAAAAAAAAAGAAAACAAAACAAAAAAAAAGAATGTACCCCCATTGTTAAGCAGCACATGACTGTATTGGTATCTATCATTCAGACTATACAGAAGGCAAATAGGTGTCAAGTCAAAGGACATTCTGGGCATGTCCACATGAAACAAAGTCTTCAGGTGTTAAGTACCTCATCACCATATATTTTTATGATAATGTATATTTATGAATTTTGGGACAACAATTTGTTAGCTAATTTTATTATTTTAACTCAGGGATGAGATATAGCATCTCAAAATATGTTTCAAACCCACTGGATAAAATATATATTTTAGGGAAGTAAGTCCTTGAACATAATTATCACCTAAGTGACCTGATCAAGTGTTTGTAAACTATGTACTTATTCTGTGAATTTTTTGAGGAGTTTCCCATGTTCTGAAGATTGGTCATCTTTCTTTGCAGCATTCACTATCTCAGCTCCTCAGGACCTGTATGTGGTAGAGTATGGCAGCAACGTGACAATGGAATGCAAATTCCCGGTAGCAAAAGAGTTAAACCTGTATGCATTAGTTGTCTACTGGGAAATGGAGGATAAGAAAGTTATCCAATTTATAAATGGGGAGGAAGACTTGAAGGTTCAACACAGTAGCTACAGCCAGAGGGCCCAGCTGTTGAAAGACCAGCTCTTTTTGGGAAAGGCTGCACTTCAGATCACAGATGTGAAACTACAGGATGCAGGGGTTTACTACTGCTTGATCAGCTATGGAGGCGCCGACTACAAGCGGATTACTCTGAAAGTCAATGGTAAGAATTATTATAGATAAAGAGGTCCAACCTTTATTAAAATCATATTCCAGTGTTGATAACTTTTCATTCTTGGAAGTTCACTCGCACTCTCCACAACAGCACTCTGTTCGTTCATTCATTTGCATTCTTGTCCCATGAGCATTTCTAGAGCACCTCCTGTTTGAGAGTCCCTAGGCAGCCAGAGCCAAACGCTACAGAGCCATGTTCCAGAGTGTGTGTAGTTCTCCTAGAAATCAATTCTTTATTTTGGCATTACTATAAAAGTAATACATGTAACTGCATATAACTCAAATACTATGAAAGGAAATAAAATGAATTACAGAAGAGTCCCTCCTCCCTTCACCACCATCTTCCACAGCACACAGAGATGACCAGGTAGTCACTATTTATGTGGCTCTCCAGGATTTTTTTAAAAATTCAACGACCATTTTTATTTTGTTAGGTCTGCCAGCATTTTCCTTCCTTTGAACCTATGTCAAACCAAAATCAATATGTTAAAAACAAACCTCCCTATAAAGGTTCACATTGAAAAACACTTGAAGTCAATTTTTGAAGGCAAAAAATAATGATATCAAGTATAGAAGAAACTATTCATCCTTAGAGATGATATAAACTATGCTCATTGGGCATTTATCTTGAAAGTCTATAACAGTGTTGTCTTGGAATGTTAAAAAGGAACTATGAGTGATAAATTCCTGGGTACTGACCCACAAATACGTCATCAGATCATCTGGGTTCAAACTATGGGCAACTGCTAGCTAAGCAAAGGAAAACACCTTAGCTGACTACCTCTGCTTTCGCTGTTAAGATTCCTAGAATTGAGAGCTGAAAGCATCCTAGGCGAGAACAGCTAATCCAAGGAACAGAACAGAAATTCCCCAGCGGGTATGCTGCTCACATACTTCCCACAATGACACTACTGTCATTTGGATCATCCTTCCCTAGCCTATTGAAATTACTTTCTGATATTGAACTGAAATCTGCCCTCTTATAGTTTTGGACTTATCTGCTTGGATTTTTTTTCTTTCCCCTTTTTATTACATGACTAGAATTGATCACCATCCCCTGGTCTTTCCATATCTGGGACAACCGCCATCAATCTCAGTAAGGTCAACAAGTAGAAAAGTTTAAAATTACAATAAAGGGATAACTGATCAATATAAACCCAAAGTCAAAATTATATAAGAATTAGGAGAAATGCATCTATTTTATAGTACATTACTGAGTCTCTTGATTCTAACAGTTAATGCTACTGTTGTCAGGAAAATATCACTTGTGTTGTGAAGTAGATTTAATTTTAATTATATTTTACCACATGCTTCTCTAGAACAATGATAGTCATGAAAACAGAACAGTGGGATTCCAAGTTGGGACTTTGAACTTTTCTTCAGTCCATCAGCAAATATCAGGCACTTACTGTGTTTCAGTGTATGAAAGAAATCACCAAAACTGAACCCTATAATCTGCCAGCAGTGCTGGATGGGGGATGGGGAGGAAGAGCATCTCCTGGCCATCAGGTAAAAGGAAGTGCAGAGTGGAAGTTCCTGCTTTCAGAAAAGGCCTCACGTTAGACTGTAGGGAGTGTGCAGAGAGTGGGACAGCTGCCTCTGTAGTGAGGAATGTGTTTTTCCAGGTCATCTGGGCTCTGTAATGCCCCGTGTGGATCTGCAATTTCCTTTCCTGTGGTTTAGCACAATAGGAAATCTCTGACTCTGATGGTTTTTCCAAAGAGGGGTCTCTGATGGAGTGAGGCAGATAACCAGCATCTGATTTGTTTGACTATTCTATTTTGTATTGTAAATTACTAAATTGACATTCTACTCCCCATCCATCTTGCTGTCATACAGTGGTCTTGGGGATGAATTGAGAGCAAGCCAGCCTCCAAATTCCAACTGAGGTGGTGTCACCAATAGACATTTGGTGTTTAGGTCATGAGGTAGATGATTCAAGGAAGTAGAACTTCTGAGTCACCTCCACATGCAAATGATTTCAGAGTAACACTAACAGCTTCTCTTCCCATCACTGCAAGCATGTGGTAACACAGCTTCCCCACAGGGAGTTTACTTGCCACGGCATTTTACAAGTGAGACATTTCAAAACTGAAATTTGAAAGTTTCATTTTGGATAAACTCAGTTATTATCACGTTGGATGTGAGTAGTATAGCACCTTTCACGTTCTTAGTTTAAATACCAGACTTCCAGGCATCTGACTTATGATTGAAAATGTTGTTTTACCTTAATCATTGAAGGTAATAGCAGAGAAGGTGAAGTGCTCTTTTATACTTTCAAGACTTTACTGGGATTGGGCAACTGCAAGAACAAATACTGCATAGTGAACTTGATAAAGCTAATTTGTTCCTGTGGACCAAGGGTTGAGAGCTGTCATTCCTCACCAACCCCATCTGCCCCCCAAATTTATCGACCAGAACTTTGCAAGTTTTCTGGATAGCATTTATTCCCCATCTAATATATTATGTAATGTATCATAAAAGTGAATCTGTTCTGTTTATTGTCTCTCTCCTCCTCCTAGAATATATACTCTGCAAAGACAGAGATTTTGGTCTGTTTTATTTATTGCTGTATCCCTAGGACTTGGCATATAAGCGTAGCAGCATGAAAAGAGCACACAAAAATTTTGTTGAAGGAATGAATGAAATATTTTCTCAAGTAGGATAAACCTCAACATTTTGAAACATGAATAGGTTTGGGCACATGAAAATTTATTTCCGAGACTGTTCACCAGGAACCATCAGTACTTTCTAATGAGTGCACATAAGTGGTAGCACTAAGAGAAGGAGGTGGAGCTCTAGTGCTAATAGCAGTGGTGGTGAACCCTTCTGTAGTACTTTGTATGTGTCAGGCCCTGTCCTTAGCACTTTGCTTATATTAACTCTTGATCCTCAAATGACTCTATGGAGTAGGGGCTTCATCATGTCTGAGATGCATGTTTTTTTTACATTTTATGTCTGTGAAATCTGAGTGTCAATAATCTCATCTTAGATTCAGGGATATGTGATGTTATTCTTGTTTTATGGATGAGAAAACTGAGGTCCAGAGAAATTCAGTAATTTGCCCAAGGTCACTCAGCTATTATGTGGTAAAGCCAGGCTCTAAATTCAAGCAACCTGGCTCTAACATCAGTGCCCTTAACAATCAAGTTGTACTGCCCATGTTTATACTTCCTGAGTGTGTGTAGAGTTGTGTTTGGATTTCAAAACTATCACAACCTTTTCTTGGTCTTGACGTGACCATTGCATTGGATCTAGTGCTCTAGATCCAGTAAACCTAGAGTCTGCAAATGTTTTTGATTATCCCATCAGTAAAGTGTGTTAAACTAGTATGTGTGCATGTGTATATAGTGATAGGGAATATATTGTGCTAGTACATAGGTTATATTATAAGAAATTAATATTTTTGAAAGGCAGAAGAAATTAAAAATCACTGATTTCATGTGGCTCAAACAATACTTTATACATTCTATAATGTACAAAAATAGAAATTTAGAAGGATGAAAAAAGTTAATAAATATTTTAAATTTCTTGCTAATGATGATGCTTCACTGTCATTAACTAATATTTTAAGGCATAATATTCCTTAGATGAAATTCATCATTAATAAAGGTCTTGATAACTTTGAGGTTTTATTTTAACCAATACCTTATCAGGTTCAGTTAGGTGTTTATTATTTTAACTTAATGAGGTGATGGTAAAAAGTGTCACTCTGACATTTCCTTTTGGTTTGTGCTTGAATTGTTAGTGTTGTCTCTAATCCTGTTTCAGTAGGGAAAATTTTTATTTAGTTGTTTATCTTGTAAGCAGATTAGTTTAGTTTAAATTAGTCAAGAGAATCTGAAAAGCTATAAGCCCAAATAAGTCATTCTTCTCCCTTTGATATTATAAAACTCCCCTCTTCCCACAAGACCCTCGCATGGCACACAAAGTGAGGGCCAGTGTCAGTCAGCTATGTTTATTAAGTTTAAATTATTTCTTAATTGTTATAAAAATACATATAAGTGGACATTCTAATATTTTCTTTCTGTACTCCAATACATGTGTCCCACTTCAGAGACTAATGTAGTAGAAGTTTAATCAATGAGTAGAATGAATCCACTCATTTATTGAGCCCTTATAGGTGTACCATATTTTTATATATGCCTAGTCATGAAACAACATTCTTCTTTATTCTTATACCGTTAAAAATGTCAGAGTGAACAAGCAAATGTTTTACCTTTAACCCTTTATCACTAACTGTGATTTTAGGCTTGAAAGTTTAATTGTCTGGAAATGAAGCTATGTGCTATATGAACTAGAGTCTGTTTTGGTAATGGTATTTGATGAAGTGAATAAGTGAATTTGTTTTTTATGATCTTAAACATAGCAGATACAAGGTTGAGGACTCAAGTATTCATAGGATACCTTATTCATGTACCTTCAAACTGTGATTATGTTGATTTTTCAATGTTTTCATTAGTGGTTTTATTGATTTAAGAGCACAGAAATATCACATCATTATTTCAGTTTTTGCTCGTTCCTGGCTGTATTAAATCTCTGTGAATATATTGTATCACAAAACTATTGTTATGACTGTATTAAGGGAATACAGAGTTAAGGCTCCAGGTGGACCAGTGGTGGTTACACTGAAGTATTAGGAGTAACATAAAGATTATAGCAATAGAATAATGACATGTGAACATGCTTATAATGGATAAACATGAGTGAAGATCTTGGGTGATATAAATGCACTCACTGAATAATATAGTAAGTACCCTGGGTATCTTAATCCTAAAAGGGTCCCAAACCAATGATCTAAAATTTAATCAGACTTTCTTCCATGCAAATAATTATTTAAATGGTTTATTAAAATTGCCAGCATAATAAAAGTTTAAAAAAACAAGTATTATAATGTGTTATTCTGGATGAGATCCTAGGACAGAAAAAGACATTAGAGAAAAACTAGTGAAAGGGAACAAAGTGTGAAGTTTACTTAATAGCAACATACTAATGTCAGTTCCTTGGTTAGAAGTGTGCCATGGTGAAGTGAGATGTTAACAGTGGGGAAAACTGGGTAGAAAGTGTACAGGAACTCTGTACTACCTTTGCAACTTTTCCAGAAATCTAAATTTTTTTTAATAACAATATATTTAGACCTTAAAAAATTTTATACGAGAACATGTATCAGTTTTCACAGTGACATCATACTATTTTCATACCTAGTTTCTGATCATTGACCTAAAGTTGAGAAAGTAGCCATCAGAATCGGACTTTTTGTTTATTCATTAGTCTAAGAAACAGTACTGGCCAGCTGCAGAGTCATGTTTGTGAAGACAGCATTATAACAATAAGGACAAAACATCCAGAAATAAATGAAGGTGCCCCATGTATTTAAAAACTATAAAACTTTACTGAGAAACATATGAAGACTTGAGTAAGTGCACAGACATATTTTACATTTGGATAGAAAGATTACTGGTTTAAGGATGAAAATGCTTTTTAAATTAATCTACATATTTACCTGAGCCCAATCAAAATAGCAATATGATATTTATAGCAAGATAGTTGTTTTTTTGAGCCCAAACTTGGCCCAAGTATGAGTAGAGGAGGTGAAGCAAAACTAACAGGGCTCCACTGCTGAGACATCTGAACATTAAGCTTATTTCGATGAGAACCAGCCGGATTTCTGTTCTCTCTAATGTGGACAACACCAAGCTACATGTCCAGTTCTGTGCTGAGTGAAAGCCCTGACTTCTTTTCTTTTGCTCATGGTGTAGCCCCATACCGCAAAATCAACCAAAGAATTTCTGTGGATGAAGTCACGTCTGAACATGAGCTAACATGTCAGGCTGAGGGTTACCCCAAGGCTGAAGTCACCTGGACAAACAGTGACCACCAAGTCCTGAATGGCAAAACCACTATCACCAGTTCCAACAGGGAGGAGAAACTTTTCAATGTGACCAGCACGCTCAAAATCAACACAACAGCTAATGAGGTTTTCTACTGCACTTTTCGGAGATCAGGTTTTGAAGACAACAGTACAGCTGAGTTGGTCATCCCAGGTAATATTCTGAATGTTTCAACTAAAAATGTGCCTAGTGCTCTCCCCTGGCACTGAGCATGATGTCTGCTCATCGTAGGCATTCATTGTTTGTTGAGTGAATAGCACTATATGTACAAAATGCATCCTGCTTCCTCACCTCCATTCATCCAAGTCGTACTGCTATTTAATAAACATTCAGTATATAGTTATAGAATATGGCCTACGTTCCAAGCATTGGGGACTCATAAATGAATAAATTCACATTCTTCAGGGAACAGATAAGAAAACAGTCTATCTCAGTCTCATCCATGTAAGAAATGGTCTTGTGGCTGGGAGATCTGGGGGGGCACCTGAGAAAAATACTCAATTCAGGCCATGTTTCAGGAATTCAAATCTGATCATATAAAGCAACTCCTTTCTTTCCAGGGTTTCTATGGCAAAAAGCAAATGGAGTTTCCTATTTTATTCCACATGGGAGAGGTCCTTCCTCTCCATCTGCCTTCCCCAACGTAGTCTGACATTCAATTCAAGGTAGTCTGCTTAGTGCATAGGACAGAAGGCTGTGTGTCCCTTTGCAAGTTACTCAACTTCTACATGCTTCATTTTCCCTATATGGTTATAACCTATTGGGCAAGATTATCATAGGAATAAATGAGCTATAGTATATGACAATGATTTGAGACTCCTGCCTGCACAGATTCGACTTTTTTCTCTCTCCTTACTCTGCAGAAGTAGATAAAGTGGTTAAGGCAGGATACAGTCTGGTGAAAGGCTCAGACCTTTAGAAAAAGTGAGGTAGGTAAGCATGATGTTAATATAAAACCAGAGGTATTCTGAGAAGCTCTCCTCACCACCCATTCCCCCACTAGATGTTGACAGTAAAGTTTCAGGTACTTCAGAGAAAACAACCAAAAAATGGGCAGAAAGTGAAGCAATTGGAAAATACAATATCCATGATAGTCCTATGAATAAAAAGAACAGAAAAAGTTTTTAGATAATGAGAGATACTCTTCCTGGTGTATGAGTCAGTTTGGTAGGAGCTGCATTGGTGGGTCCCTGCCCTTGAACAGCTGTTTACGACAACTCTTTGTGGGATGACATAGGATAACTCACCTAACTGCTGGGAGTCTATTACCTCACAACCTGGAGATTTTCCAGAAATACCTGGCATATCTAACTCATAAACTTATTTTAAGGCTCAAAATAGATAGGAACAGATTTTACAGACTGTAAGCTATTAGACAAAGGCTGATTGCTGTTGTGGCTTTAAAACGTGAACTAGGTAGTCAGGGATCGTGACTGATGGTGGGAGGTTAGCAGCCTCTGAGCATCATGTGCCATGGGGCTGCAGACAGAGAGATGAGGAGATTGGTGAGAGGTTCTAGCGATTAGAAGGCCTGAGTTTCAGACTGTGGAGAAAGAAAAGATAACAAATACTGATCCCTGATCATCACCACAGACATAAGGAGGTTAATCCTTTGGCAGTGCTAGTTGGCCTTCATGTTCCATCTCTGCCATGTACAGTATGCTCTCAATTTCTGTATTAAAAAAACCATTATAAAGGACACATGGACAATGTGGGGGCATGAAAACAGGAGAGGGAGGTGGGGAGGGCTGGGGTGGTAAGGAAGGGTAGGAGGAAAAGGCAGAAAACTGTACTTGAACAACAATAAAAAAATAATGCAAAAATGAGGGAAATAATCAAGGCTACTGTTTAGTATTGAGCAGCCACTCCCCGTGGTACTGTGCTAAGCACTTTACAAACATAAGCTTCTCAAAAGTATTGTTTTCCATTTTGTAGGCTGGTTAAAGGACTTGTCAAGAGATGTCAAAGCTAGTCAGTGGCAGCAGAATTCAACCCCAAGTCCATCTCTCCACAGCTTGAGCTTCTTCCACTTTTCTGTGCTGCTCTCATTTTCATATTGGAGGTATCTCATCATTCCAGCCACTCACTGGCCAGGAACTTTTGGTATTTAAGAAAATTAATGTAGGGCCTGGCCAGGTAGCTCATTTGGTTAGAGTATTGTCCTAATACACCAAGGTTGCATGTTCAATCCCTGGTCAGGTCATGTACAAGAATCGACCAATGAATACAGGAATAAGTGGAACAACAAACTGATCTCTCTCTCTCTCTCTCTCTCTCTCTCTCTCTCTCTCAAATAAATTAAAAAAAATTAACCTAAGGCTCAAGGATGGTTATTCTCTTGATCCCTCCCTTTACATCAAAATTTTATTTTTCGTTTCTTTTTGTTTTGTTTTTCAGAACAAGGTAGAGTTCCAGGAAGGACTCACTTGGTAATTCTGGGAACTGTCCTTGTGCTACTTATAGCCCTGACGGTCATCTTCTGTCTACGAAGAGATGGTATTTCTTTTATCGCAATGGTCTTTACTGGGGATGGGGGGAATTACATGGGAGTGCTATTGTTAGCACAGTGGTACTTACTGGGCAGAGCCAAGAAGGCTAAGTCTGCTGTAACGTGCAGGGCAGTCCCACATAACAGGGAACAGTCCTACCCAAAATGCTAGTGGTGCCTCCACCAAGAAACACTGACTTACAAAATGCTGCCTTCCTATTAGACTTTTTTTTTTCAGGGCCAATTTTTAATTATGCAAGGTAGATTTTAGCCATCTACCATGTGAACCTGTGTGCCTTCTCTTCCTCCAGTCCTGCTCATTCTGCTGCTCAGCAGCATCACCTGCATTGGGGGGCAGCCATGGACACTGTGGTATGGTAGCATTTTTGAGGGAGTGACAGTTGGATCATGACTGCAGGGGAGCCTGACTTGCCTTTTCAGGCTGGCGCAAAACACTCCACTGTTTAATAGCAGTTACATTGAAGCTGAGCAAGATTGCTGGGTGAAGATCCATGTGTACAGGAGTGTATAAGAGGTTGAAGAAGAACGGTGTCATTTAGTTTCTTCCTCTTATGCAAGTAACCACAGACTTAGAGGAGAGAAAAAGCAAAAATACCCATTGGTTTGGTTGGATTTGAGTCGTGCATTGGTTGCACTGTTACACTGAGCTGGTTTCTGGGCACCTTAAGTTAAAAAAGTCATTCCTTCTATAGAGCTGTGATACTTTATCATAGAGTGTTTTGCAGGATGTTAATGTAATTTTTGAAATAATTTGTATGTGTTTATCTCTCTTTTTACCTCTGGCAACAATTAAAGTGCAGGAAAATGAGCCTATTCAAATAATTTCTCCCCATTTTAAGATGACTCAGAGAAAACATTTCTCCAGTGCTTTAATATAGCAAATGATCCAATGATAGTTTGCATAGAGTTATCTGATGTCAAATAGGGAAGTAGAAAATGGAAGGGAATTCCAGTAGTTATTGAGAAATTCCCCACAACCCCTTAAGAGGGTGGTTGGATCTGGGAGAGCAGTGTAATGGAGGGAGTGAAGGTTACTGAATCTAAAGACTAAATAGATAGTTAGCAGAACAGAGACAGCCAGAATATAAGGATCAACTTTTAATAATAGCAAGATCCTGAGATGGAGTTGATTTGTCCAAGGAAGTAACTGTTACCAACTTACATTTTAAATATTTTACTATGGAAAATAATTAGTTGGCATTGGAAATGGCTAGAAAACCAGTGCATGACAAAGCACCTCAGTACATGGTCCATCTCTGAGGGAAGGATGGAAAATAAAAGTATATACTTCTAAAGAAATTTAGGAGCAAAAGCATGTGCCCCAGGGGGTTGAGACCTGTGAAATAAGGAAGTCTATTCAATTTCCCAGGGGATTAAAAATGTTTCATAGGAACCTGGAATTTAAACTTGAGTCACTGTGTAGGATGTAGAGTTGTGTTTTGTGGAAATAAAAATGGTTTTTTTTTCCAGTGAGAATGATGGATGTGGAAAAGTATGGCACTGGATACGTGAACTCAAAGAAACAAAATGGTAAGAACATTAGGGATTGAGAAGTTGAAGGACAAGGAAACAAAAAGCTAAATAATAACAAGGAGAAATCTATCAGTAATAATCCCTCTTCTCTTTGTTGGAACTGCTAGCTTCTTTTTGCCTCACCACTCTAATACCAGAACTTTCCCCACAGTCTGAGGAGATTTAGGGATGGCCCTGGAGAGTAAAGAATGATGAGCAGCTTTGCTGTGTGTTGGGGTGGGGTGTTGGTGGGGAGGGGCATCGGGGAGGCTTGAGCTGGGGAGGAGATGGTTTCTCTCTGATAGGTTTCTATTGCTTTGTATCCTCACTTCTCCCTGCATCTGGGGACCAAGCTGACTTATGTAGATGGGAGATAGACAGATAAAGAGAAGTTGTGTTGTATTTAAGGAACTGTGTTAACTGCTTCATGTGAAGCACCTCATTTCATTCCCTCCTACCCCTCAAATCAAGGAGATAAATGCTAGGATTATCCCTATTTTCTAGGAGAGAATGCAGGGCTAAGAAGATAATGTAAATTTCCCCCAAACACACAACTGGTAAATGAAAAAGTCAGGCTTTGAGGCCCATTATCTTGACCATAGGACCATAGTCTTAATCTATCTGCTTAATTCCATTTTGCCACAAATGTCTACATTCATAAAAGGTCAGAAAGACCTCACCCAGCTGATTGAATAAAGAAGAAATTTATATTAAGGTTTTCAATTCTTTTTAATGTAGTGAGAAACTAAACTTCACAGGAAGCCCAAGTTCAAAGTAGTCTAATTAGCTTGGACAAGCTCAGGGAGTGTTCATTATGTGGTTTCATAGCACTGCTCCGTGTTGTAAAGCCAATTAGTGAATGCTGTGGGGTTATCCTAGGGTGACCAGCCATCCCCATTTGCCCAGGACTAAGTGTTTTCTCAGGACATGGGACTTTCAGTTTTAAAATCAGGAGAGTCCTGAGCAAACTGGGATGGTCATCCACCCTTTGTCAAGTAAAGATATTTGGGCAAAAATATAATATGCTTCTTTATCTTCTTGCAAATGTATTATATCATCTAGCAAATATAAAATGTTTCTCCTTATTACTCTCCAGATACACAATTTGAGGAGACGTAATCCAGCATTGAATCTTCTGATCTTAAAGCAGGGCTGCTCGGCCTGTGGTTCGGGTTTGCCGGATGGAGGATGACCAGAGCACGCAATGGGCCGGTGGGCTGCAGACAATGTAGGACTTAAAAGAAAGATAGAGTTAGAAAATATAGCCTGGAAGGAAACCTTGATACCTCAAAATGACTGGGAGACTCATCAGTACATATGAAAGGGAGAAAGGACACTTCTGAATGATGTTCTCCATGCAAATTGTCCGTCGCTCATCCTAGGAAAACAAGTTGAGATTCCCTGATTTAATGGTCAATTCCTGCAGAGGTGCCCTTTGCCTTCACACAACGTCTTGAATGATCTTCTGTGCAAGTGAGAGTCCCAGTGTTGTAACAGTATTTGAATACGAGTCATTTCTATTTATTTTGCATCTTTGGGGTCTTGTCATGTGCGTCTTTGGGGTCTTGTCATGTGAGTGTGGTTATGAATGATTTATTTTGAAGATATATTGTAGCATAAGTTAAAATTGTGTCACCAAACTAAACACACCACTTGTATATGTCCAGTAGAATGTATAGTATTTGTAAGGTGCTTTGTAATTATTGGTGTACGAGAAGCATATAGAACGAACCATTGGTTTGTATAGGATATTACCCTAGTTAACTCATTGATACTTCAGATGACTTGAATAATCTTACTATGAGACCTCAAATGTTTCAATAATCTTATTCTTAGACCTTGAGGTAAGGTACATTACCACAGTATCTGTTGCATTTAAATATCAGCTTTACAACGATGTGGTATCCTACAGGCATAATTTTATTTAATCTCTGTTACAAATGTGTTGTGGAAAACTCAATTTTTACCCATTTCACAGCTGAGGGGTTGATAAGTAGCAAACCTCAGATTTTTGGGACTGTCACCACTGTCCTTTTAGAATACAATCTGCAGCTGTGTTTTACTCTAAGAAATTCATTAAAAAAAAAAGAAGTTAATTCATCCAGAAAACATTTAGGAAATGCCATTGTATGTCCATTACTGTGCCAAGCAGTGAGTCCACAGATGTGAACAAGATAAAGTACCTCCCCTAAAGGAGCTCCTAGCATAATGGGGAGGTTGACAAGAGAATTTATTATTACACTTCTGTGCAGTGTCACAGCATAAGGTGTTAAGGGAGAATGAGAGTGTGAGGAATAAGGTCTAGACATGCTGCCAAAACAAGTGAGGTCACTCTGGGTGGCCAGTCTACCCAATATGCTCCTGGACAATTGAAAATATTTTAACAAGGCAATTTTAGTTTATGAGATGTCAATATTTTTAGGTTTTTAAGATGTCAATATTTTTAAAAACTGTAGAAAATAACTCTCGAATTAATTTTCCCTCATTATATTTACCCCTGATTTATTTGCCTTTGCCATACAAACTGATGCCTCTTTATATACATAGTGTCTGGTATTATTTAGCAGTTCTTTTTTTATTTTAATGCATTTGAATTTTGAGTTTATACCTTTCCATGATTCAAAATTCAGAAAGTCCATTAGGAGACAATGAAACGTCTCCATTCTATCCTGGTGGTCATCAGTTTCCCTTTCTAGAAGTAACCGCTCTTGCCTTTTGTTTACTTTTCTTCTGAAAATATTCTATGAGCATATGTGGAAATATTTATATATACACAGTATATATTTTTATGTTTTACCCTTTTTCACATAAGTGGTAACACATTATGTGTCTGCTGTGCACCTTGCTGTTTTTATTTATATATTATTTCTTATATAGCACCCAGAACAATTCTGAAGTTCCCAGAGGTCATGCATTATGATTTGTTAGTTTCTAGGCCATCTTTTCTATAGCCTCTTAGTATCTTTCATAAGACTTAGTGCATGCTGTATATCAACATGTAGACAACCAGCATTCATTGAGTACCTGCTTTATGACTGAGTTTGGATTTGGTTCATTTTGTCTTTCTCAAAATGGGTCATGGGTTCTTTAGGGTACACTGGGTCCACTTAGACCTGAAGGGTAATTTTATTACTTGTCCTGTATGATGGAATTATGCCTGGAACTTGTTTATTTACTTTTTTTTTCTGTTTTCTTGAGTAGAAACTTGACTTTGATGTTGCACTTATAAAATTGCACATTCTTTTTGGAAATTCCAGTAGACTATTTGACCCTAGACCCTCATCTGTGCCAGGGAAGGCCCATAGGCTGGGCTTAAACCCTTGAGTCCTGCCAGTTCTCATCACTACACAGGCCTCTTAAGAGTAACCTTCCGACGGTATTGCGGATGCCCTCTCAGGAGCTCCCAGAATATTCCTTCACTCTTAACCATTTATGTGGATTGATGATAAGGAAAACCTTCTTTGCTTTTTAATGTGTGAAAGCTGAAGACAGAATCTCCAACAGAATGTCTTCTATTATTTACCGCATGTTTATTTGTACAATATCTCTTGTTGGTATGAAGTACAAGCAAGGATCCCGGCTGAGCAAGACGTGCAGCCATTCAGCTTATTCCTGAGTATTAATGGCATCTCATGATGTTGGATTCATAAAGCACTTTATCCCTTTGTCTTGTGTTTCATTGTAAATGGTATAGGCAGAAATGATAGCTAATTCTGCATTTGATTGTCACTGTATACACTTTATTAACTTAATAAAATACTCTTATTTATTTTGTTACCAGTGTACCAGCATGACCATTTTCTTATTTCCTGCATGTTTTAGAGAACCACTCCCAGTTTAACTTCCCAGTGGAAACAGTTACTTGAAAGACCAACAGCCACCTTCCTAGTTCTTTTCTTTTCATAGCTTCTGTATTTACACAGCACACTCCTGAATCCTGCATGATGAAAAACAGCAAAAAAGTTATTTTCAAAAGAACATATTAAACATTTTTATTCTCCCTCACTCAATAGTTTCTTTTAGGACAACATCCCCCCCCCCAAAAAAAAAAGAAGAAACAGTCAAAATTATGTCATCCAAATTAAAGATCTGAGCATGGAAGAGACGGAGTGGTCAAGAGAACTATAGGGAAACAAAGGGGCTTTCCTTTGTGAGAGTGTTCTTCTCGGATCAGTAAACATGGATGTGTAAGCCAACGCACATGAAGCTGGATGTATTTCAGTCTTCGCTTTCTGAAGAGGAAGTGAGAAACCTAGAACAAAGCCAAGTTGACAATTGAGGCCTGGTACAGTGTTTTAAAACAAAATGAAAACACTTGTCGTTCAAGGAAGTATAGAACTTTTTTTTTTTTTTTGAAATGAAGATGTGTCTTTTTTTTTTTTAAGATTTTATTTTTTGTTTCTTTAGAGGGGAAGGGAAGGAGAGAGGGAGAGAAAGATCAATGTTTGGTTGCCTTTCTTGCATCCCCTGCTGGGAACTGGCCTGCAGGGGACTGGCCTGCAACCCAGACATGTGCCCTGACTGGGAATCGAACCGTGATCTTGTGGTTCGCAGGCCCGCACTCAATCCACTGAGCTACACCAGCCAGGGCCTAGAACTTTTAATATATTGTCCAGCTTAATTAGTTTTCAGGTTCACTTTAAATAGATTTTTAATCATTTCTCTGAATCAGACACTCTCAAAAGGTGATAATCATTTCTAAGGATGTACGTCAGATTCTACATGTTTTTTCAAGAGTATCAGTATTCTCATAGAAATTATGAAGGTGTAATATTCATGCCAGGTGCTGGACATCAGGCTGTACCAGCTTTCTGACTAGTCTTCCTGGCTGACTTTGGTGGTCGTGGCTCTGGCTGGAATTTTGTGACATTGGAGGGGTCTGTGTTAGAGAAAAGGTAGCCTGAGATCAGTGGCAAGCTGTCATTAAACTTTGACTTCAGTTCCTTTTACAAGCATGTAACTATCTGCCACAATGGACCAAATGTATTTATGCCTAAATGTTTTAGAAAACATAGATTACTACTACTTTAAAACTTAGAATTTTAAATTAATTTTTGCACCATTGATATCCTTGACCAAACTGGTTAAGACACATACATTTTGTTTTTATAATTTTTTTCCTACCCCAAGATTCCAAAGTTTCAAGGAAATCAATATAATAAACCAACATATCCCTATTATAAATTAAATGTTTCCACAATTTATATTTTTAAAAAGTTAAACTTTAGCAGTTTAGAAGCAATTGTTAATGCTTGGGGTCTATCATTAATAATCATGACAATTACCATTTATTGAGCATGTACTCTATGCCAGGTACTGAAATTTACATCTCATTTAATGCCATGAACCAGTGATGAGGTGTAGCAAACAGGGGAATCACATTTACCTGGATGGCTGCCAAGTCAGCAAAGTTAAGGAAAATTGCAGCATTAAATAGGCAAAAATAAATATGACTGCATAAATACAGTGATATTATGGGGAAGCTTTAAGAAAGAATTTGTATTATAATTCTGGCTGATTATTATGTCTTTCCCTCATCAGAAAAAATATAAAGTGGCCATTTAAGAGTATTACATATAAGACTGTGACATTAATTTTGAATGGACAGTAAGCAGCCAAGCATTAGCTGAAATACACACTTCTTAGTTTCCTAATTGTGAAGCTATCATGTTTTGGCTCCATTGGTCCACTAATTGATGATCTGATTGCAGATTCTACAGTAGAAAACACAATTGGATGGATAGGAAGTTTAGAATATCCATTTCCATTGAAGGAAACATCTGTAAACACAGATTCCCCATCTCCTCTGTCCAACCAGTGTGACCTCTGTAGGAGATCTCTTCTTGCAGAAAATGTGAGCATCTAGTTCTGTTTTGCTGAGGAGTCAGCCTGGGGACATGGGCAGCTGTCCAGACCATGGAGTGAAATCTCATCCACAACTCCAGGATTCAGTCCCTCAACAGAGCCTCTCAGGCCAGATGACAAAAAGAGATGATTTGGGGTTCGGGGTAGTTCAGAAATGTTAAGAGACAGCCACTGAAAAGACAGGCCTGAGGAAGTGAGCAGCAGCAACCTGGTTGAAGGCAAGGTTGTTACAGAACACACCAGGGTGCAGGGGCTGAACGATCTAAAAGATCCCCCCTTTTTCTCCAGGGGTTCCTCCCCTGTACGAGGTTTGCTTTGCCCACCGCCAGAGGGAAGACGTCTCTCACATGCCAGAGATTGGTGAAAAGGAAAGGAGTTATTATTTAAAAGTGATACAGACTAAAGTTCTTTAGAAACCTAGAAATGCATGTAATCCTTCTTCCTCCCTCTGCCCAGTCTGGGGTACTCTATCTCAGCAAAGAAGTAGAACCCTGTGATTCAGGCTCCAGGCACCATCCACTTGGCAAAATGGGAGCACTTCCAAAGCCACGTGGCCCCCGAAAAGACACGTCTCAAAGAAACACCAAATGCCTGCCTTGCTTGGGTTTAAATTCCAGCACCAATCTTCCTCTGCATGTTTATATCTGGCTCCTCTCACAATTGGCCACAGCTGCCGGCATTCCAGGCAGGTGTGGCCCCGTGGTGTGGAGCCAATCATCTCCAAGCTCTTTTGAACGCCATTGCTAATCCCCATTTGGGGCCCTCCTCTTGGCTGCACCCTGTTACAAGGTGAAGGGAGGTGAAGATCCACCCAGTCCCTAAACTTGCATTATCTCTATGCTGGGGACCAGCCAAAGGATGCCACATTTTCACATTCGCTGCTTTGAGATCCCTGGGGATGACTACAATTGTGGTGTAATGAGTTCACACAGGGTTCCGGTGCCTACGCTTTGAGGGCAGATAATTTTTAAGGTAAGAAGTAAATGGGTTTACCAGAAGAGGGCTTTGTGGCAGGATTGCAGTAGTTCTTGACACATTAATGTAATTTTTCTCTGTGTATTTCCCTCTACCTCTGCTTTCTCTCTCTCTCTGTAGCCTGAGGGTCAATTTCCCTGTCCAGCTCCATGCCAAAGCTGAGACATAGAAAATACTTTAATATGTGAATGTCCATTCACATTTCCCACATTCCCACAGACAGCCCAGTTACTTATTGGGCATCTTCTGCAGGTCAGGCATTTACAGTGCATTGTGGGAAAAGTTAAAGAAATATTAAATGTGGCTCATCCAGTCATGGAGCTTTAGTCTGAGAAGATGACACACACATTTATGAAGAATTAAGTAATAGTTCAAGTGTTAGAGAACATGAAACTTTAAGAAAATGTCTCAGAACGGAAAAGAGATGATAAAAAATGCTGTGGAAAAGAGGAAGGAGGAAACCCTAGGTGCTAGAAAACCTTTGGCAAGGAAGCCAGATTCTACCGGGACCCTGGAAAATGGAGAAGATGCCCGCTTCTGATGATGTGCGTCCCAGTCCAGTCAGGCTGCCTTAAGGAGACAGCACAGACAAGGTGGCTTGTAAACAGCAAAGGATTTTATTTCTCACATTTTTGGAGTTTGGGAAACCCAAGATCAAGGCATCAGCAGGGCTGTGTTTGCTCAGGACCCTTTTCCTGTCTCATGTGTACTCATGTGAGGGACAGAGCAAGGGATCTCTGTGAGGGTCTCATTCATGAGAACAATAATCCCATTCACGAGAGCTCCATTCTCATGACCTAAGCACTTCCCAAAGGGCCCATTGTCCTAAACTATCATCTTTGGGTTTAGGATTTCAACATGTGAATTTGGGGGAAGGGATGGACCAAACCATTCAGACCACAGCAGTATAGAAAACAGCTTTTCTTCTTTTCATAAAAGATAAATTTAATGATTGAAGGAAATATTCGATCCCTTATATGTCTAGTGGAAATATAAATTAGTACAACCTCTGAAAAGGATTATTTGGCAATATCTATCTAAATTACAAATGCCAGAGCAATTCCACTTGCAGAAATTAACCGTATAGCTATATTCTTATACACACAATGTGACATGTATAAGGATATTCATTACAGCTTTATTTATAGTAGCAAAACACTGGAAACAACCCAAATGCCCATCAATAGGGAACCGATTCAATGTGGTGGCACATCAAAGCAGTGGAATACTATATTAGTTAGCCATGTGAACAGGTAAGGAAATTCTGTACTGATATGAAATAGATCTCCAAGATATATCTATTGTTAAAAAAGGAAGTTATAGAACAGAGTGTGGTATGCTACTGTACATTATATTGTGCATACAATGTGCATGCTGAGAACGCTTACTTTGCATACTAGGTACTTCGTATGTATACTCACTAATTTAGTGAGTATACATATTATGTACACTATGTATTCTTCTAGATATACATTTTGCATTTTTGAAAGAAAAAATGTAGATGTATATTTGTCATATATGTAAAACACATATATTAGAGAGGATGCATGTAAAACTGGTTGCCTTTGGTGGCATATTGGGTTCCCAGTAGGAGAATTTTACTGGCATAATCTCTTGACTTTTGAATTACATGAATATATTACCTATTCTAAAATAATAAATTATAGTCTTTAAAAGTCTGAGCTCAATTACTTGCTTCCCAGGGCATGTAATTTACATATTTTGAAGGTAATGATAATTCACAGTGTATAAGGCCAATATAAAAGTAGTGGTGAGGAAGTTTCAATAAGTGAATTCAGCCACACCTGGCTTTCAGTCTGGACTTGAACCCAACAGATTTGAATTAATTTTTCATTTAATTTTCCCCCATTTCTCACTGGTGTCACTCCCAGCACAGCTCTAGTATGT